AACTTATTTATTACGTACTAATGTACATAATTAAAAATATCGAGTTGTGAGAGTGAAAAACTTATTTATTACGTCTAATGTACATAAATTAAAAATATCGAGTTGTGAGAGTGAAAAACTTATTTATTACGTCTAATGTACATAAATTAAAAATATCGAGTTGTGAGAGTGAAAAACTTATTTATTACGTCTAATGTACATAAATTATTACACGTTTATTTCAAAATACGGAACAGCGTCTGACATGGCAATTTTTGGAAAGTTCGACCCAAATGAGTAAAACCATTTTAAGCTATTAGGACATCATATAATCGAAACTAGAGTAACATCACTCACAAAACACCAGATGGCGTTTCTTAAACCATCTAAAATATCATTAGCATTCAATTCAAAGGACTGCCCACGTGACGTAGACTTGCCGCTCGAGATATTCACGAAAGCAATGCGATAAAAAAAGTAGAAAAGCTAACAAAAAAATATTAGTTCTTGCTTTGACATTTGCATGTCACAAGACTGTTTATCACCGATTAATAACGGGTAAACATGGCACTTCAACATGACAAATGATAAGTTTGTAAGTTTTTTAATGTTATATCAAAACACTTTCTAACTCCCAGCCGAATCGATCGAAACATCGACCAGAACGGAAAGAGGATATGATGGATGAGGCTTTTTCAAGACTCGAGATGCATGAGGTTCAAAGATATCAGCACAGATTTTTAAAATAATCGTCAAAGGGAATGATGGTATGTATGTCTAGGAAAAACTTAATAAACCATTATCGAGAAAGACCTATCTGGTTTTAAATGTACGAGTCGTGTTAACCACAGACATTGTTTTTATTTTCAGCGCCATTTTTTTTATACTTAAAATTGGGGTTAACCAGTTGAACTATTAACCCTGAAGTCTAAACGAACATTCAGTGGTGGTAAGTTACATTGTCTGAAATGTACACTGATTGTGCCATTAACTCATATCATTCAGAATCATATATGTATATATATATACATACATATAAATATAGACAGACAGGTATTCAGATCACACACTTCGTGTGTCTTGTACGTTCTAACATCATGTGTTTAGTTCCATTAAGGCCTATTGCATTGAATTTTGTTAATCTGACTAAAAATGCACGGCAGATTCCATAAAAACTATAAATTAGAACTCTCACTGTCACGCATACACGTTTCTTTAAGTGGAAAGTTGTTCTAATTTAAATGATAAAGTAGTACGTTTATGTTCGTGTTCATTGTTAAGACACGTGAAATTAATACATCGCAAAAAAATTCATAGAACAGAGAGAAAACTCTAGTGATGTGATACAACACATTGTTCTGATAGAACGCTCTCGATTCTCAGGACGTAAAACAAAAGAAAATAATTTAAAGGCGAAGATACATACCAAATACAAACAATTACTACATTTCACTGTGTGTTCTCAGGACGTACGATAAAAGAAAATAATTTAAAGGCGAAGATACATACCAAATACACACAATTACTACATTTCACTGTGTGTTCTCAGGACGTACAGTAAAAGAAAATAATTTAAAGGCGAAGATATATACCAAATACACACAATTACTACATTTCACTGTGTGTTCTCAGGACGTACAATAAAAGAAAATATTTAAAGGCGAAGATACATACCAACTACACACAATTACTACATTTCACTGTGTGTTCTCAGGACATACGATAAAAGAAAATAATGTAAAGGCGAAGATACATACCAAATACACATAATTACTACATTTCACTGTGTGTTCAGCTTATAACTGTGAAATATCATTATCGAATGGACAAGTGTAGTCCAGTTCAAAATTTAAGAAAACTCTTGTGTAGCTTTACTCAGAACATTTGAAACAAATTCAGTTAATATATATTTAAAAACAAAAATTATGTGATATTCCTGATTAGTGATGCCATACGGATATTAATAAACTAATATTAATATTAATAAATATGCAGTCTAGCTAACTAATGAATGAATATTTGCTGTAATTCTCTTATCGATGCTATAAGTGTAGCTACCAGTTTGTCCGCCAATTTTGATTTCATTCCTTTAAGTCGCACACTCAATCTTTTTTTGCCTGCGCCTTGTTTTCACACCTAAGGCGTTTTTGATTAAATACCACGACTTTTTTGCAATTCATACCAAATAAGAAAGTGACACTCGATAGTAACCATCATTAACTTTATAATCGCAACCCTATTATTCGGAACAGACCTTTACTTTACAGAACCATCCAGGTTCTTTAAAATATA